TTTTGAAAATTTTACAGTGGTGTTACCCCTTAATGTATAAAAATAAAGTACCTTCTTGATTGTAGCTGTGTTCCGTTTCCCGTGTGACGCGCATAATAATGTATCATTTTAGGCTGCGTTCCACACATATTGCATATGATGTATCATTTTATCCTTGTTTACTGAATGTTAAATAAGGATAAAATAATATATTATGTGCATCATGTGTGAAACGGAATGCAGCCTTATCCTTGTTGTTCAGTGAATGTCAAACAATTAGAATAAAATGACATCATACGCATCATGTATGAAGTACAAAATATAGCCTGTTATAAACAATCCAGAAAATAATATGAAAATAAATGTAAAATAGGGAAAACTTGCACGCCTACTTTTATGGAAAATAAATACGTCGTAGGTTGAGGTTAAGAAATAAAGAATCTGCACATACACCTTCACCTTCACCTGATTAATTTTCTTACATAACTCTGTAAAAATTTCAAATTATTGAATTATACAATTAGTTATAAAATAACGTAGGAAATAATATAATGTAGATGAAAGAGGACAAGAGGTATTAAATTCGCTTATTTTATCCTCACCTCGATTGCAGCTGCAGAGAGAGTTGCTACTTGCTCGCATCGAGTTGAAAAATACTTCATAACACTTCTTGAACACTTTACAAATATCGTTAACATTTGTACTACTCTAATCTCTTTGGAAAAATTTCGTTAGTCGTTACTTCTGTCATGCTAATATTGCTAATGGAGATCTGTTCAAATCTCGTCTCGCGGCAGTCGCTGCTCGCGAGTTGAAACGCTACCGGGATTCTCAAACGTTTAACGATTGTCGGTATCGTTGCGCAGCCTTTCTTATAGCGGTTAAGTATATGTAAGAAAAGCTGCGCAACGGTACTGACAATCGTCATTAAGCGTTTGAGAATCCCGGTACAGTGCTACCACCTCTCCAGTCTCCTTTATTTCGATCGAAAAAGACAAGTTGTAATCACACTAGCGGATTGAGATTGATTAAATTTGGATTTGACCAATTAAAGCAAAATTGACTGAACATGACAGTTAGTTATTTTTCTTCTAATTGGTCAAATTTCAATACAATCTCAATCTCAAAGGTTGCACGTTGTCATAAGTGTATCGAAGACCGATATTCAGGGGTCAAGTATCGATACGTGAAAATATCAAACAAAATATCAATAAAATATCGATACAAAATATCGATTTTTGGACATTAAAATATCGATACTTAAAATATCGAAATTGTATCGCCCATCTCTAGTATATATGACATTATCATACATACGTAAATACATGATGTATTATATATTCCTTTACCGTTTAAGACTTGCAGTCTTATATATATCTTACGTATCTGCATATTTTTTATCATTAATAAAAAAGAGTTGACAATAAAAGTCGACTAAATGTCGGACATAAAAGGACGACTTTTAATTTCCAGAAAATAGTCGACTTTAAGTCAACTTACAGTCAATAGTTAAAGTCGACAAAAATCATTCTAGAAATAGTCGACTAAATCAATTTTAAAAGTCGACTTGAAATAAACCAAAAAAAGTTGACTATTAGCCGACAAACAGTCATTCGTGCTGTGTGGGTCTCCAGTCGCGGTGTAGAAATATTTATCTCATCGTTGGAAATACTTTTAACAACGGTCGGGTAGAACGAAACGGAGCGCGAGGCTTCGAGGTCTCCAGTCGCGGTGTAGAAATATTTTTTTCATCGTTGGAAGTACTTTTAAAACGGTCGGGTAGAACGAAACGGAGCGCGAGGCTCCGAAGTCTCCAGTCGCGGTGTAGAGAATATTTTTCTCATCGTTGAAAGCACTTTTAATAATGGTCGGGTAGAACGAAACGGAGCGCGAGGCTTCGAGGTCTCCAGTCGCGGTGTAGAAATATTTTTCTCATCGTTGGAAGTACTTTTAACAACGGTCGGGTAGAACGAAACGGAGCGCGAGGCTCTGAGTTTTCTAGTACCCGGTGTAGAAATATTTTTCCTACCGTTGAAGGTAAATCGTAACAGTGGTCGAGACGGAACGAAATCGTGTGCGAGACTTCGAAGTCTCCAGTCACTGTGTAGAGAATATTTTTCTCATTGTTGGAAGTACTTTTAACAACGGTCGGGTAGAACGAAACGGAGCTCGAGGCTTCGAGGTCTCCAGTCGCGGTGTAGAAATATTTATCTCATCGTTGGAAGTACTTTTAACAACGGTCGGGTAGAACGAAACGGAGCGCGAGGCTTCGAAAATATTCAGTAGCGTTGTAGAAAATATTTTTTTCATCGTTGGAAGTACTTTTAACAACGGTCAAATAGACCGAAACCGAGCGCTAGGCTTCGAAGTTCCCAGTCGCGATGTAGAAATATATATTTTTCTTACCGTCGAAAGTAAATTGTAATAGTGGTTAGGATAAGACGAAACCAAGCGCGAGGCTTCGAAGTCTCCAGTCGCGGCGTAGAGATATTTTTGTTCCATTTGAAAATAACATAAAGAAACGTTATGATAGAACAAAATCTTGATTAAGGGTTTGAACTTTCGAGTCTAGGTGTAAGAATGTTTTTCTTTGGCTTTTGAAAATAATTTTGAGAACGACATGATAGAGCGAAATCCGGAGCGAAACTTCGAGCTCTTGAGTCGACGTGTAGAAATGGATTTTCTTCCATTAGAAAAAATAATCTTAAGGATGGTTGGATTGAATGAAAATTTGAGGAATACGACTCCTTGAATGGCAAGAAATCTCTACGCGACTGTAGTATTCTCTGAGTGAGGACACGTTGTTTCTCCTCGAATGCATTTCGGGAGGCAATCATACATCTTCGCACTCTTGCGTGGACGGTACGACATATGTTTTCTCAATGTGCAAAAACGTCATTTTTTAGTGTGCTACGCTCTCCGCGTGATCGAGGCTTGCAAATGTTGCTATTCGAATTTTGTAGTACATTTTCTCGCGTAAAAAAAATTCAAAAAACGACTGTTTGGATCGAACAAAAATCTTGATGAATATGTCGCATCCTTCAATTAAGGATACGTTATTTTTTCTCGTATATATTTTAATGTAGTGTCTCTTTCGCATTTTCGCGATCTCGTCGGCGCGATCAGACGCGTTTAGTCGATCGTTACAAAATTGACTTTTTAAAAAAAAGTAAAAAAAGGGTGTCAAGTGTAACCGCGCTCCTTGAAAAAAAACTTGTGTCTAAATTAAATATAATTTTTTTAAGCAATAAAACCTAAATGGTATCCTTCGTTGTACTTTAATATTAACTAACTTTACTTCAGTGATATGTATATTACTATATTACCTGTATAAATGACTTGATATCAGTAAATGGCGTCAAATTAAATAAAAAACTTGTATCTAAATTAAATATAA